ATAACCTTCTTGTTATGGCATTGAGAAGCAATGTGGCATCTCCCAAGACATTTAAAGCACTTTATCTCACTAGACTTAGTGCTAGTGTGTGAGGTGTATTTTTCTTTTTCTTTTTCTTTTTCCTTACCTTTGTTTAGGTTTTTGGAGGAGTCAAAAGTATTTTTCTTTTCAAAATTTTTACCCTCCTTCTTGTAGTCGTTCTTGGAATAAGATGAAAAGGAGTTTTTGAAATTTTTCCTTAAAACTTGTTGTTCAACCTTGATACAAATTTGAACTAAATCATTCAAATCTTGGTATGGTAAAAGCTCAACTTTATCCCTTATTTCCAAATTAAGACCACTCAAAAACCTAGCAATGGTAATGTATTCCTCTTCTCTAATTCCAGCCTTCATCAAGTATAACTCCATCATTTGTCTATATTCCTCAACACTCATGTTTTTTTTATGGAGTCTTTGGAGCTTATTCATAAGCTCCCTAGTGTAATATGAGGGAATGTGTATCCTTCTCAAGGGACTCCTTAACTCATTCCAATATTGAATTGAAGGATCATTATAAAGACGCCTATCCCTAACAAGGGATGTCCACCGATACATGGCGTGGCCTTGGAAACTTAAGGTGACAAGAGACACTTTTCTTTCTTCACTCACTTGATGGCAAGTGAAGATTTGTTCAACCTTCATTTCCCAATCAAGGTACCCCTCCACATCATCTTTTCCATGAAAATAAGGGAGATCCACTTTGGGTTCCCTAACTTTGGGGGTCCTATGGTTTCTTCTAGGAGGTTGTTGATAATGATCTCCTAAAGCTAGGCTATCATCATGCATGGACTCTCCTAGGGCTGAACTATGGAATTGAGAACTTCCATGCCTACTTCGGTGCTTATTGTGTAATTTTTCTTCCTTTTCCTTTAATAGCCGAATTTCCTCTTCCAAGAGTGCAAGTTGGGCCTCTCTTTCAAGTTTTTCTTTAAGTCTTTGCTTGGCCTATTGCTCTCTCCAAACTTTTAGTGATCTTAATTCATGTACCACCTTTGAAATGTCTTTATAGGTACTTGAATCACTATCACTTTGAGGAGTATAAAATTCTTCCATTATAGGTGAAATTTTTTCTTTTATGAAAGACTTTTTGAAAGCAATTTTTGAAGGTTTGAACTAAGTACTTGGAGGACTAAGTATACAAATTGAAATTTGGAGGGAGGTGAGCTACTAAGAGCCACTTAATAACCAAGCCTCTTCAAATAAAAATTACTAATCCCCCTTGTAGTCAATCCTCACCTAAAACCCTTTTTTTTAATGAATTTTTTTTTGTGATTTTGATGTGATGATATATCTAGACGAACAAGTAATTAAAGACAAAGTAAATTTGCAAAATTTAAAAGCTATCTAGACGGATTCCTATGGTGAAAGCTTGAGAGGTACCAAAGACCTTCAAGGACCACTTCCACCAAGTCTAACGCAAACTAGGGTTCTATGGAGAGATGGTTGTGTACCAAAGACACTTCCAAGACACTCCAAATGGCCAATTACAATTAAAGAACAAATGCTAAAACAGAAAATTAATCAAAGTGGCTTATCAATTAAAATAAAACAGCCACCGAAACTAGTGATGGAATTAGAGACCAATTTTGCAAGGAAAAACAATTTAGTGACGGAAATTTCGTCTCTAGTGCCCTATTTTTTTTTTTTTTTAAACAACACAATTTGAAGCTTTCTTCCAAGTAAAACTCCACAGCTTTGAAGGAGGTGCAGCAGCAAAAAATTTCCAGGTGTTTAAAGTGTTTGATGATTTTGTTTAGTAGCCAACCGAAAGCTTCCTCCACTTGTCACCTTTCCTCAACTCTATCTTAGTTCTCTTTTGATGACCCTTGTAGAACTAGCTTCTAAAGAAATGTGTTAGATCAACACTAGGCCACACTTAGAGATCAATTTCAAATTCAAACAGTCAAGACACTTTAGTGAACTCAAAATCAAATAGTAGAGTAGAAGACTTAGATGAACAATGAAGACAATAAGGCTAGCTCAAGAAAGAATGCTCCTAGATAGGTTCCAGATTTAGAATGACAAATCAAAAATGAATTCAAGGATTAAAGCTGAAAATCATATCACACACTTCATGCTACACATGGAAACTGAGAAGCATTAACATATAATACAATCTCCTTTTTGGCTTTTACTTGAAATTAGGTTTGCATATATATATATATATTTAATCAAAGTTCTTTTTGAATTTTTCTTTTGATTTTGATTTGATTTCTTTTTTTTTTATTTATAAGAGATGCCTTTTTCTCTTTTGAGTTTTGAAGTCAAGTAGTTCTCAGTCACTTTCAAAATTGCACCAAAACCGGTTTAAAATTTGAATACAAATGAGATACAAATTAGGTCAAAATGTAATGCACTTGCACATGTTTTGCTCATTTGTTTTTCTCACTTCACCGTGGTCCCTACACTTAATGGAATCGCACTAAAAATTTGTAAACTAAGATAAATAATAAAATTGGATAACTCATAAATACAAATCATTAAAAATATATAAGAATAATTAAGTTTTTAAGTATTAGTATTTACACAGTTATCCAAAACTACTATCTCCTAGTGCCGGTCAAGCACAAAATTGTTACCCAAGATGGTGACTCTAACACTAGGAACAAAATATCTCACTTCTAGCAGCAGACTCACCCAACATCTCCAACCTAGCCCTGATCTGCTCCCATACATCGTATGATCATAGCAGTCCATCCACATGGAAACAGAAGGGTAAGCTAGAATTCAATAAACAACCATACAAGTATAGGGAAACACTATACTACCCATTCATTCAATCATTATCACAAACGACCATACAGTTCAACATAAAAACACAACTCATTCATACAACTTAGAAGCAACTTTAATACAACAACAACAACAATATACAACTTAATATTTAATGCGTCGTCATGCATATACAACTGGGAGATCTCCAACAACTGAGGTTGAGCAGTCTAGGTGGCATAAACCCTACCGAATCTAGTGTTTGACCTACCTCAATCAGGTCAGGTATAGAATAGCGTTAGGAACTCTGAAGATAACTAGGTATAAATAACAATAGTTGATTTCTCAGGTGTGCCACTTAGACTC